AGCAGGGAGCCCGATGCGGGGCTCGATCCCAGGACCCTGGGATCATGACCTGAGCCGAAGGCAGACGCTTAACCACTGAGCCACCCAGGCGCCCCGCCACCTGCTAAGTCTCGAGGCCATCTAGGAGAAACAGTAAGACGCGGAGCCAGCCTCTTTGCCTCTCTGGCCTCATGTTTTACATATTTATCGCGTCTTAATATGCTGTAACTGATGGGGGGTGGTGAAAGCTGGAGGTCTTAAGATTGAGTTATGGCCTCTTGTTAAAAAGAGGAAAAGTTTTTTCTGGAGTGGAAAGAGGATACTTCTCATGCGATGCAATCCACAGCACAAAGTTCAAGGTCAAAGAGCCACGTGTGGCACATCCAGAAGGGCACGAGGATTAACCTCTGTGCCCATAAGATGGCACAGGTAACCTGGCCTTTCAAGCGGAGAAAAATGCTCTCGCCGTAACAGGAGCCAGGAGGAGAGTACGACACAGATCAGGGGCAAAGAGCTTCACAGGACTTTGTGGTACAGCATTGGGGACGACAGGCCCAACACCAACGCAACCATGTTCTGAAATGAAAAATTCCTTCCACAAATCCAGGACTCAATGCCTCAAGTATCATCTTTCAAATGTCAACACAGTGTCTAAATATCAGCCTCAAATCCATTACTGAGCCAGAGATATTTTGCGTAAGGGCCCGCCAAATATGGGAAAAGTCCTATAAAGGCAGAAAAAAAATCCTTAAGTGACATTCTATTTATGTTTACGTTATCAGAAATCTCACTGTGTCCAGTTTAATGAGTAACTTTTAATATGGGAAGATATACACATTCCATGGGTCATATAAAACCAAGGCTGCTGAAGTGGGCGCTTCAACATTTCAAGGAAAAGTATGAATTATGTGAAGGTCAAGTCCCTTTTAAAAAGTATATTAGGAAGCATAATAAAAATAAGGAAGTGGTTATAAATCTGAGTTCCAAGAATGGTAACTCCCTTGTATGGACAGAGAAAAACAGTGGGACAGGACAATTACATTCCTATGCTACAAGAACACTTGAACAGAAAGAAAAACACACAAAGGCCAAAATCACTTTAAAAAAATGCGTTTCATTGAGAAGCTCCATATTGAAATGAGTGTGGTTCAACCAGCAGCTACAGTTCAAATGTCCCTTGAGTTCAGATGGCAAATGACAGGATATCACTTATTTAAATACAGAGATTGTTTGCACACCTCGAAAGAAAAAAGGAAAGTGGCCATAAACTGGTCCCACAAGGCAGAACCTAAGTGAAGACAAGGAGAATGAAGACAAGGAGCTGGGAGTGCTGAGGGAAAGAGAGCTCAGGTGACCAGTGTCCATTCACGTCCATTCCTACAGATGTGAGGGCTGCTTTTTCAATTTTTTGTTCTCCTGTCAGGGTCGAATACTGCACTATCCAAGAGAAATAAAATGGAAGTCACATTTTATACTTTTTTGATAGCCACATTTTTAAAAATTAAAACAGATGAAATCAATTACATTTGATAGAACCCAATAAAACCAAAGTGTTACCCTTTCAGCATGAAATCAACATGAAAGCTATTAATGAGATAGTTTTACATTCTTTTTTCATGCCATGCCATCAAAATCTTGCACGTTTCCAGGAAGTACATCTCAATTCCGATGCTACATTTTTATCAGAAATACTTGATGGCATTTACAGTTCATGATATTTATCCTAAAAAAACAAACAAAAAAAAAACACAACCAAATTCACATACTCAAGTTGTTCCAAACATAATTAAGTTTCCCAATATCAAAAAACACAAATGTTCCAATATCTGAATAGAGTATTCTAAAATTTAAATTTATTTAAATAAATAAAAATTTGCTTTGTTAGTCAGGCAAGCTACATTTCAATTGCTTAACAGATGTATGTGTAGGCAGCCACAGGCATGGAAAACACTCATGTGTCCCACCCTCACAGGAGTCATCTGTTTCCAACTTCCCACGGAATAGAGGTCAGGCAATAAAACAAACTCAGAGTCAGTCCATAGGAAGACAGAAATAATTTCCTCATTATTCATACCTTTATGAACTCCAGCTTACGGAATACAGAAAAGGAACAAATATTATCTCTTAAAAAACCAGATTTGACGGGTGCCTGGGTGGCTCGGTTGTTAAGTGTCTGCCTTCGGCTCAGGTCATGACCCCGGTGTCCTGGGATCGAGCCCTGCATCGGGCTCCCTGCTCCGCGGGAAGCCTGCTTCTCTCTCTCCCTCTCCCACTCCCCCTGCTTGTGTTCCCTCTCTCGCTGTGTCTCTGTCAAAAAAATAAATAAAATCTTTAAAAAAAAAAACGAAAACAAAAACAGATTTGATAGATGAGATCTATAACCAGGGATAGAAATTATCTGGGAAAGGGAAGTGAGTATCTTGTACATTTTTGTCTTATTTATTCTTCACAATACCCTACGAGGGAGGTATTTTTCTAAAATTCCCATTTTTACTAAATAGGAAACAGGCTCAGGGAAGTTAGAGATAGTTAAGTGAGGCACACAGAATTTGAGCTTAACTAATGAATCAAACTAACTCTTACGAGATACTGGATTTTGTTCACAAAACCCAGCCCAGCAAGTCAAGTAATTCTGGATCCTGCCTCCCTAGGAGAGGTCAGAAGACAGACAAAGCACACTGATGGGAGTGTGATCTGCACACCTCTCCATTTTTATTGAAAGTGCCATGATCTATAAACCCTTCACTTGAAGTGCAGATACAACGTTCTCTCTCGTAAGACAAGACGAAGAACCTGAGGGTGGATCCTAGTGATCAACAGTTCCAAAAGCTGTGCAGGTGACTGTCCTAAAGGTGAGGTTGACAACAACAGAGCCAGAGTAGACCTAATCTTCGGTTTGCACCCGAATTTTTGTAAGATTTCCAGTTTTTATAGATGTAAATTAGTAGATTTCTGCAACTTTTTAATAGTTTTGTAATATGTACTCCAAAAATACACTCAGCCAGTGGCTTTCTTATTTCCTCAGTATTCCTCTAAGTAGAAGTGTTGATATGTACCATACGCATTTGTTTCTCACTTGTTGTAATTATAATGTCATATAATTTTGTAACTTGAATCTCTCTCCACTTAATTTATCATATGCACTTTCCCAGTTGCTACATAATTTAAGCTTAACACTTTTAAGGACTCTAGAACATTCTTCTCCATGGATGTAAAATAATGTATTTGCCTACTCCTGCAAAATATGGGTTACTCTCCATTTTTTCCTTAATATAAATAATACTACAAAAACACCCTACGTTTCAGATGATTTCCTTCACATAGTTTCCCTTGAGCGGGCCAAAACTGCCACGAAGGCTAACCCAATAGTATTGTTTACAAAACACAGGTTTGTGGTAAAGTGAAATGTGTAAGCAGGGCTCACAATGGGCTGGAAAGTATCAGAATCTCAAAGATAAGGAACAGTTACTACATTCTACCTGGGGCCTAAACAGGAGACCTGTGTCTGTCTTGAGGGCTTACTTGACCCTTCTGAAGAATTCTTTCAAAACTAGGAGTAAGCTGTCCAGAATCTTTTTGACAAACTTTAGCAAAATGACTCATAAATTGAGTCACTGACCCATAAAAATTGAATAAGAATCCCAGCATCCTTTAAATGAGGTTGAAATGCTGTCCCATCTTAGCCAGGGCCCAAGCACTATTCTGTTTCCGGTAACAAGCAGCCCTGTTCTTAATAATACTCAGGCTCTCTTGTAACCAGAGACACAGATGCCAGTCAGGAAATTGGGTTTAAATTTGGGTAACTTCTGCCTAGGGAACACAGGCTAGTTAATTAGTCTACACCAAAGTTCACGACTGGTCTCCTTAGCACTTGAGCTAAGGAGCTATGGATACAAAATCATTTCACAGTTTGGGTACAAAACAAAACCACAAATGCGTTGTACATAACAAGCCAGGCGTTCCAATAATACTCGCTAATGTCACATAATACAATCAAAAGTAGCCAGAAAGGACATTCGGACCATACTAAAGGGAACCCATCTGGAAAACCCTCCTGCCTTTTGGTTTCGGGTCCATGCCATGGGGAGAGCAGTAAATACTGAGCAAAGAGCGGCCAGAGGAATGAGGGGTGACGATGAACTCTGGGTATTTTCATTTTGCTCTTACTTATTCAGCACAGTGCCTGGTTGTCCAGAACTGGGCAAGATGCTGCAGACTAAAGCAGGGACCATGATCTCATCCTACCATGACCCAGACTGCCACCTGCCACTAAAAGCCACACGTTCCCTGTGGGGGAAAGGGAGAGATGGCTTTACACTGGAAAAGGCAGGAATCTACAGCACCAGACTCCCCCAATGGTGGGACTTAACTCGCTGAACACTCACACCAGAGCTCACAAAACCACCCACCTGCCCCCTATGGGCATAGCACAGCCCCGGACCAACCATGGAGCCACCACTGGGGGCCACCACTGGGGACAACGGTGCCCCAGACCTCCACAACCACAACTACCCTAGTCTAAGTCGTGCCCTTTGTTATTTTCCCACCAGAAAACAATACAAACATTCCTTAAGTCTCAGGGTCCAATTTGCATGAGGTCCTCCCCCTCCGATGGCCCTGGGGTTCCTCCCCAAAACAGGTCTAACCACTTTGCTTTCCATGTTAACCCACCCAGCTCTTATCTCTGGCACCAAAGGCTTCCACACTTATCCTGTGCATCTGGCTCGCTGGCTTCCCTGGAACAGGTTTTGGTCAGAGTTTACCCATGATTATCACCTGTCAGTTGCCACTGGAAAATTGCAGAGGAGACTCTGAAATCCAATCACAGGCTTTACCTGGCTGGCTGGGACCATGGTTTGGTTTTTGTTTTTGTTTTGTTTTGTAAATCTCTGCCGGCAAACCCCAAGCCCAGCAGCCGCCACACACCCCGGGGGCAGAGCGTGGCTTCTGCAGCCAGAGTCCCCGGGCACAAGTCCTGGCTCCTACTTTCCCTCTGGGATTTAGACAAGTGTCAGGAATGGAATTACGGGGTTGAATCCCATCATTTGCACTGAAGTCTTAACCCTCGGCCAGTACACCTCACAACTGTTTAGAAACCGGGTTGTGGCAGATGTAATTAGTTAAGGTGAAGTCATTCTGGAGGAAGGTGGGCTCCTAACCCAATACAACTGCGGTCCTTCTAAAAAAGGGACATTTGGACAGAGAGACCCACACAGGGAGCACTCCATGGGAAGATGAAGGCAGAGGAGCACCAAAGCCTGCCAGCAAGCCACCAGACGCATGGACAGGGGCATGGAATGGATTCTCCCCCAAGCCTCATACCTCCTCACACCACCATTTCAGCTGTCCATCCCCCAGACCTGTGAAAACAATGCATCTTTATTGCTTAAGACACTCCACTGGTACTACTTTGGTGCGGCTGTGCTTGCAAACTAACACAGCAAGTTACTGGGTCAGTTTTCTCATCTGTACAATGGGGATAAGAATGGCCGGAGGAATAAATTACAATTTGCTAAGTTGCTTAGATAATGCCTGACTCAGAAGTGCATTTTAATGTTAAGTAAATAGTCTCCTCTTTTTTTTTTTAACCAAGTAGTTTTTTTTTTGTTTTGTTTTTTTTAAGTTTCCTACCATCTCTTCCCACCAAATTGCATAGTGAAATGCAAGTACAATAATAGGCCCACACCAGATTTCTCAGGAGATGAGGGTCACTTACACTTGGCTGGCATGCCCAGAACAGGGCGTGGCCCATGGTGTAGTAACAGGAATCCAGATTTCCTCCCTGCTCTTCATCTACACCCACACAAAGCACCACATCCCTCCCCACCCCTGCAGCAGCCCCCACCGGAGCCTCGCCCTAGTCCTGGCCCTTCCCTCTGGTCGGTTTCTCAAAACCCCCATTGTCCTTCCGCCCAAAATGCGATCTTCATTAAGCCTCATTCTTCAGTTTCCACCCACCCCCAGCTTTCAATGCTGTGCAGTCTATCCCTCCTGTCATCTGACTTTATTTCCTGTTCTTTGCCCACGTTCATCTCCCTCTCCAGTTAGCACCCCCTTCCCCACCAGTACCGGTTTCCTCTGGTAATCCTAACCTAGGCAAGCAAGAAGCCCAACCCCAAATTCACCTCCTCTGTGAAACTCCTACGGTATTTATCACCTGCACTCCTGATGTCGTTGTGAAGGACACAAGCCCTGTACAGCTGTATGTTTCATGCACATGAGTCCCAGGGTTGTGTGGAGAGTCAACTTTTGAAACCATTCATCACATACTACTGAAGACCTTACTGATACCAGGCACTGGGGTAACTGATAACATTAGCAACCATTTAGTGAGAATTTACCATGTGCCAGATTTTATCCTAATCCTCATGCTGATGCTAAGCGAGGAGTTGGCATCACGCTGGTTTACAGATAAGAAAACCAAAGATCAGAGAGAT